AGGAATGGTTTTAGGAATGGTTTTAGGAATGGTTTGGAATAACTTTTTATTTCAGTGTATGAGAGAATGCCTATTAGTGTTACTGTTAATACAATTTTTTATACATACATATATATGTATACACAAACATAGGAAGGAATGGTTTTAGGAATGGTTTTAGGAATGGTTTTAGGAATGGTTTGGAATAACTTTTTATTTCAGTGTATGACAGAATGCCTATTAGTGTTACTGTTAATACAATTATATATATGTATATATTATTTTTCAGTTTGGTAATTGAGAGAATCTGAAAGTCATCCTTTAATTTTATTCCAAACTTATACTAATGTGTGGTGATAGATCCATGCCCTGGCATGGACCACACTTTTTCCAATTGTATTACTGAAGCATTGGGTTGATAAAAAGTTTTTTACGTAATAATTAGGGAAATACTGCCATTGCTTTTATGACTTCTAAATGTTCCAGTTAAAAGTTGTTTCAAAAAACTTCTTCCTCTTGTGTTTGAATCCCTGTATTGCGTTAACTGGATAAATATTCATATGCAGAGTATTGAGGTCAATCATGTATAACTATGTTTGTCAGTGACACATCTTGTTGTTTGCAGGATTCTTATTTAAGACCGAAGTAAAAAACAAATGAAGAAACTTGAAAATAATGCCAGGTTTTCATTGCAGCTAAGAGATATGTACAGTAGTGATAACTGGTTTTAAAAAATCTTCTGATATGGTTTTTGCAATATAAAGTCTGAACTTTTATTGTATCCAGTATATAAGTTGAGCTCAAAGTAAAACACTGATGATTTGCAAAATGGATGCAATACACAGTTTAGCCTGTTGTAGAGGCAAATATCTTCTTTTTCATCCAACCTTTCTGCTCATGTGTAATGCATATAATGATACCAGATCAAAAAGCAGTCAGTTGTGCCGAAATCAATTTTAAATTTAAAAGACAGTAAACCTACATTTTTCTATCACAGAATCCATTCAATAAGCACAAACATAAAATAACACCATATATATGATATTCTTAAAGCATGAGTAGATTACTTTCAAGTTCCTGTCATTATTTGGCTGCTTCTTTGCATATCATGTCATGAAAAAAAAATTAATTTTACTTATGGTTCATGATCAGCTGCATCTTCATGTTCTTATGATGTAGTCAAGTGTTTCTTCCCATATATTGTGAAGCTCATTGCGGAATTTTTGAAATAAGAAACATATTCCACTGTAATATGTTACTTTTCATTAAGATGAAAACTCTTATGCCTTGTGTCATGTAATTTTTCTAAAATTAAACTTACAATGGAGGGGAGCAAATAAAAATTCACTTTCAAACATAAATAAAGTAAGTAGTAATTGTGAAAATTAAGAGTATATAGTATTTTTATTTAGTGTCTTGTCTTGAAAGGAGATAAAATGAGCCCACAATCACAATTCTTTTAAGCAATTTCTGGAAATATATTCTAGATTATTTTAATTTTTAAACCAGGAGTTTAAAAGGTAACTAGTATGTCTTGTTCCCTAATTTTGATTTTTTTTCTTTTTTCTTTTTTTTTAGATGTAGGTAAAAGAATACATGTTCATTTCAAGTAGAAAGGAGCATGTTCCCAAATTCCTCCAACTTGGGTCGTCCACCCTTCCCTCCAAAACATCCGCAACAGAGTAATTTCTTCAATAAGCTTCCTGTAACTATACCACCTACTCTTCTCTCTCACCAGCAAATTGTTGATGCTCAGTTTAATTTTCAGAATACAGCGTAAGTACAGTAATATTTGATAGTGGGGACTGGGTTGAAAAAGAGAGTTAATGGTCTTTTGAAAGAAGCATTTCTGTTTATGGAGGAAGTTCTTCACTGTTTTTAACATTAAACTGCATTAAACTTTAAAAAATAGGAAAGTGTCATGTGTAAAACAGAGCTGTATCATTTCTGTTGGTGACCTGAAAGTTTTAATGCTCTCCTGCATTGTGCCTGATGCATGAGATGCCATTGCCTTGATTAGAGTTAATAATCCACAGTTCAGTTTTAAAGATCTTCAGTTGTATTTGTTTACTGGGGAAAACAGGGAGGAGATGAGAAGGGGAAGAAACATTTATTCTTGGGCCTAGATGTGAGGACACCATAGTTTTCTTTAGGCTCTTAAATTTAAAAGTACCTTAATTTGTTTGCTAACCTCTTCTTACACGTATGCTGTGAAGAATGACCATCTTCTGTTTTTTAATGAAAAACATATACTGAAGTATCTCTTCATTTTGGATAGAAAAGACAGATGTATTTCTTGTAAGAAAAAAATGACAGGACTTACTAAGTTTCATAGTCACTTAAGAAAAACTACCAACCTGTAAAAAGCATCTTAGTTGTCATGAATAACAGTTATGGACTATGGACTGTAGTCTTTCCAGGGCTCTTTTGAGTGGCAACCTTGCAACTATTCCAGCTGTTACACCACAGCCAATGACTTATGGAAATGGCAGTCCAGTACATATGTCTGATGCCCCCACGTCATTCCGAGGAAGAAAGTAAGTTCTTTGTGCATGTGATTAATTCTGATAGTAATGTACCCATGGTGAAGCTTGTGTAATATCAATTTCTTGTGCAACTTGGATTTTGTTAGAAATCGCAAGAATACTGAATAAAATATTTTTGGATGAAACAGGCCATGTCATGGGTCTTTAAAGCATTCATGTACCTGCTTTTGAGAATTTTAGTGACTTACTGTATGTAGTTTTTCTCTTCCAACAGCTGTAGCCTTACAGAACTGTGACTTTTTAATGCTATAATAGATTGTAGTCTGTGTGTGCTTGACTATAAGAGCGTTGGTGTCAATAAATGGAGTGTTCTCTTCCTGTTAATTTGTCAAGTTAAGAGTAAGACTGCACCCTCAATGTCTTATGAGAATTGTGATGTTTTTCTGATGAGACACTAGATGTTTCTCCTGATTTTCTTAATTATGTGATGCTTTATTTTTCAAATACAAAGTGCTGAATTCAAACATATGTAAGCTCTTTTTTCAAGAGGAATTTTATGGAAACATAGTTTTTCTACTTTTCAAAAAACTTACTTGAATTCAAGTAACTTCTGTTGTTACTTTAGTTACAGCAGAAAGAGAAATTCCAGGTGAATGTATGGTTTTATTTTCTTTTAATGTTCTAGAAAAAAATCACTTCTTACCAGTTCAGAAATAGTAGTTGATATGTGTTTGTAATAATCCTGTGAACCAGCTGATAGGGAGGAACCTTTATATAATTTGTCTTCAAAACTGTTTCCTGTATGCTATCTCTTCCAGATTTAACAGATGAGAAAATAAGTGCAATTAAGTATATGGTATTAAGTTATAGTTGGGTATATAACTATCACATGAACTAAAGAAGTTGCTGGTTTCACGTTGCATGCGTGTTTTCTTCTTGACCAGTTTGGTTTATGGAAAGCTATGCTGTGTTAGATTTGCATTCAGCTAGTTAATCCTTAGATCTTGAGTTAACTCTTCTTGAGGTATTTTTGCTGAACATGAGTTCGTGCAAGTTCTTCTCAGTCAAAATAGTCTGAAACAGCATTATGTTTTGATTTAACATGACATGAGTTCCTTTAAGATTGTGGGTAGGTAATGTTATCAGAACTTCGCTCAGACTTGAAAACTGAACTGATGACTTGAAGCCTCTTCTGTTAAATTTTTATTATCAATAATACTATCTGTCCAGGTCCCCCAGCTACTTTGATGCCAGCTTTTCTGACTACAAGAAATTATTGTAGTTTTATTAATAGTTAATTCATTGATACATATGAACATTTGATTTCATGCGTTTTAATTAAAAAAAATGGGAGTACCCTCATACTGGTTACCTTTACGCAATACCTGATGTGTAAACAAAACATGAATGTCCTCTCATTCTTTACTGTGGATTGACCACAGTATTCAACCACCAGTCACCTTTAAGTACAACTTTTTCTTAATGAAGAGTTAAGATGCCAAGGGGCTGACTGTAAGATCACTGTATCTCTTCAAATATATTTCAGTTCCCGTGACAAATGACTTAATGAGGAGGTACAGACTAGTGTTTGAAAATGAGACATGAGGTTTATGACCTGTGTAGCTTAATACAATCATTAGTTTGATTTATCAAATGAATAGTGTTTCTTTTTTGCCCAGTTTACACAGCTTACTATCTGTACAATCTAAGACACAGACAAATGCTACATTTTGAATGGCTATTGTGATAAGTTTCTTTTTTTCCCCTCCCCACTACCGAATTTATTTTGTTCATCACTGGGTATTCAGAACTCACAAAACTTCCCACTGCACTTATATCGATTTAAAAGGGAAGTACCCTTACATAGTCTGTATTTACCTTTTTTTTTAGGAAGAAAAAAGTATGTGGTCACCAAAATAGTATGACCAGCTTTCCGAGCTGTCCTGCTTAACCGAACTTGCCATCTAGATTTCAGCTGGTTAATACAGACACTGCTTAATACAGACACACTGCTTTACAAAAGCAGTGGCATCAACCCAGTTCAGGGGTAGCTGCACTTTTACAGTTGTGTGTTCACTTTTCCTGTTCCAGGTTTATTTCACCTAGTATCTAGGATGGGGATGTCTTTTGTTTCGTGGAGTACTTGCTTTTAGTGAAATAGTCGCATAATTAAGCACCGGTATTTGTGCTTTGTAGCAACTGTCTTTTAATCATAGGTTGGAGCTTGCAGACTAGAGGAATTACTGTTTCTCTTTTTTGCTGTTCTTTTTTTCTTTTTAGGAGACTAAGTGAACAGAGTGTTCCATATGATGTTAAGCGGCAGCGGTTTCATTCGCATCATTCTGAAACAACTGTAGTTAACCAAGCAGTGCCTTTACCAGAAGAACGGAGATATTCCTTCCCAGGATCAGTTCAGTCTCCGCTGTTCCATGCACGTTACATACCAGATTTAACTGGATGTCTCCCTCCGTTGCGAGATACTTTGTTTCCAGACCTTATAGAAACCACGCTACCTGTAGCCAAAGATAAGGTAATATTCTTCTATGCCTGTGCTTTACATCTGCCTTCTGGGTATGCAGGGTCCAATGGTGCTGCGGGAGATCACAAAAATTTCTGCAAAGTTCTTTGGCAGTGTCTCTATTGCTGAGCTGCCATTAGAAGGAATATCAATAAATGTAGCTGCCACTATGGTCCTATATAGCCTCCTCTTTTGTGTGTGTGGAGCATTTTTTTGGGGTAGGGTGGCGTTTGGTTTCCATACTAATGTCAGGAAACCTACATGTCTGCTCCAGGAAGTAGAAATGGGAGGGATGGTCCATTTATCACATGATTGGGGGGTGGGGAGAATCCTGATTAAAAAAACAAACAAACAAAAAAAACCCAAACCAAAACAAAAAAACCACCCTAGTAATGTGAGAGAATAAAGGCCCTGTAAAGATGTCCTCTGCCTCTCTTCAGAAGGAGATAAAAGTTACTGTCCTAGCTGTTCTGGAATATAAAAGAGTGTGTCTTCTTTAGGTGGACAGTGGAGTTGGAACTGTGTTTCTTGTTCTTCTTTAATTAAAAAAAACCAAACACATGTGGCCAATCAGTCTTCATACCTTATCTGCACCAACATGACAAAAGATATTTTTTTTTTAGTATAAATATGCCTGTTGATCATAGCATGTAACAGTGTTATGAAAGAGAAACAGTTAATACCTCATTCCACCAAAGAGCTGACTACTTCTTTAATATTTTGTGTGGGATTAAAAAAAGAAGGCTAACTTAAATCAGTTTTAATATTTATTTTTCCTCCCTATTACTGGTAGGCAAATTGTTGACATTAAAGTCAGCAGAAGATATCTCTGGTCTTTCACTGCTTATTCCCTGAAAGGCTGCAGATACTGATAAGGCAAAAATTATTTTCTGTGGATAGACATTTCATAACAGATTGAACAAATTTAAATTTGAAAAGTTTTCAGAAATTTCTTCCGGGGAGTTGTTCAATATGAATTCAAGTATAATAAAACTCTAGACAATGGAATAGGTTGTGTGAAATTAGGCTGTTGTTTTTTTTTTTTTTTAATGCAGTCTTCTGTGTTTTGTGTAGTTGTGTATCTGACAGGAAAGAATGTTCACTTCTCTATATCTTTACTTTTTGAATGTGTGTGTCAAGTTAAGTCAGCAGGTTTTGGAGTTGTTTCAAGCATGTCAGCAACAGACCTGTGATTTGAACAGAAAAGAGCTCTGCAGAACAGAACTCCAGAGAGAAATTCAGCGAATTTTTCCACGTATGTTTTGAATTTGATTACTTAATATCAGTCTGAATGTTCTTCAGGTTTGCAGTTCTTCCTTCCTCTTAAACTATGATATGTCACATCAGTTTTTATTCTGTGATTCTTCTGTTACAGAGAGCAGACTCTTTTTGGTTGGGTCCTCACTGAATGGGTTTGGCACTCGTAGTAGTGATGGTGACTTGTGCCTCGTGGTTAAAGAAGAACCAGTAAGTAATTTAAAACATACATAGTTAAAACAAAGTCTGTTTTTAAAATGTGTGTGCTTTTATAAGGCGGGATTCTAAAATGACAAAAAAATGGTCAAATCCTTTTGATTTAATAACATATTTTTGCACTCATAATAGCTATGAACTGTGGGCCCAATAATATTGCAAATATGAATTTAACCCTATAAACCCTTTAACCTAACAAAACAGTCATAAAATCATGACCTTCACTCCATAAGTGAAAAAAGCATAGCAAAACAGAGATGTGAATTGCCTAGAATCATGAAGAAGATTGTTTAGAGAACTCTAACTCATTTGACATGCAGAAACAACTTTTAATAAGTACAAGTTTTTTATTTCATTATTTAGATTCATAGCCACTAATTTTAGTGAGCAGGGATAAGAAGGAATTTGATATGGAAAACATCTTAAGTATTTTTGGTGAGAGAAAGTGTTTATGAGTAGAATTTAGGTTGAGAGAAAAGATGTAAGAAAAAAGAAGTCTAAATAGAGCATAATTTTGAAAGAATTGAAGCATCATTGAAAAGAAAGGAAAGGACACCTTTGTGTAAGTGGGGCTAGGTTTTCATTAAGTTCTATGATTTGTGAATATCTGATAGTTACTTTGCATATTGAATATGAATTGTTCTGTCTGGCTTTTGCCGCACTAGATGTATATGTAGGCTGTGGAATGTGTTGGTATACACGTTCATGTCTTATTCTGAGAATTAATTTTATTTGAAAAGTAGAGCATGCTTACTTGGAACATCTAAATGAGAGATACCAACTTTTTTCTTTAATTTTAATATCGTATTTCAGGTAAATCAGAAGACTGAAGCAAGGCATATACTCAGCTTAGTCCAAAAACTCTTCAGAACTAAACTTTGTAAGTTCCCAGCTACAGTGAGGTGGTAAGATTATTGGCAATTCTGGAAGAAGTATTGATGCACAGTTGTAAATAATTTATGTAACTGCATTTTGCCTAGCTTCTAATCACAGTATTGTTTGGAGAAAAGCTATAAATACTTAGTAACATTACTTATCTTGCTGCTGATGGATAGTAGTTAGAAAAACACAACAGTTGCCTTGCATATTAGTGGACTTCAAGAACAGCTAGCATCTAAAATGACTTTTGAATTGTGGACCGCAATTGGGTGGGGTGAGGGGGAAGTAAATTTCTGTTTGGGAAACCTCTGTTAGTGAACTTTTACTACTCTTTTGATTGCAGTGCCTTGCTGGAGACAATACTCTATTTAAAGTAAGATGTTACTCACAGTAGACTGTGTAGAATTGATTTCTTTTTTGGGGGAGCCTTGATGCCAGTGAAATAATTAACTTAGATGCCTAGTGAAGAAAATAGTAAATGTTGACAGTACCAGGACATATAGCAGAAATAGGTCGATGCATAGTTCTTGTAAGCTGTTGTTTAGACTCCCTTCAGATGAAGAATTCACGCAGGCAGTTCTTGACTTAAACGTGAAAGTCTCCTACTTTAAAGAGGCTTTTGTACCATCTCTTTGAATTATAAGAGACCCTGTCATTTATTGATATCAATGACTGTGTCCCCCTACTTCTCAGACTTGTGACATATTCTTTGATGCCACTCCTTTTATTGCTGTTCCGAACAATTCTGCAATGGTAAAAGGAACAAAGCATAAATTTAAATGCAGATTTCAAAATTTGTGTGCATACCCAGATTTCAACAGCTCACTTGAAGAGAGACTTGATAGATCCATCGCAGAATAGGCACCTGATATTTAATAGCTTATTACTATTGTATATTGATGTTTGCATAAGGAGTCCAGAACTTAGTCTGGGTTTGCCTAGGATGCAAGTTGTTCCAGTGCTTTCTGAGAAGCACAGTGATAAAATAGTTGTGTTTTCACCAATCAGAAAGGGAGCATCTAAACAAAATATCACCCTCTTCTTTTTTTGGAAGAGATTGTGTTCCGTGACAGAGCTTTAGACAAAATCAAGTTTGTTTGCCAGGGAATACAAGTATCAGAAAGACACAATGGTCATGTGGGAGCGATGTGTGAAGGTTTTTGTGCCATTGCTCATTTTTGATGCTTTCCTAATTCTCTGTTATTTTGCAAGTGCCTTTAGTCCAGCTTAATTTAACCAAAATGTTCTTTGGAAGGTGAGGCAGGACAAAACACTGCTGATGTTACTGTTCCTGTCAGACTCTCTTAGTTGTGGTATGTAGACCTCTTAGATCATCTCTTCATAATCTTAACATTATATGGGCATGAATTCCTATACCTAGCCTTCTGTCCTTGTGCCTGTGTATGGACATTCTGTGGATAGAACTGATAGATAGAAGTTGTTTGAAAATATTCACTATTCGGAATGAAAAGGCTTTGTCATACGGGTCTTTTCATTTGGATTTAGTTAATTTACAAACTGTAGCTTAACTGTGCTGATGTTCAGTACTTCTAAAACAAGGGGGGTGCCCAGTTATTTTGATTAAAGCTTATTTAGGCAAATATAATTGCTGTCATCCATAATTTGAAAATAGCTTGTGGGTTGCTTTTGGTTGGGGGCAGGGAGGGAGTTCCCACAGGCTAGACTTCAGAAGCTGATAGATTCATATGGTTTTTCTTCGCCTTTGGGGAAACAATCTTAGCAGTATGCACTTCAGTGGTGTCCTGTTGGCACTCCTGTGGGTTTGTGGAGTCAGGTTTACATGCTTAGAAGTAGCTGTTCACTGTCAGCTCCGGGTTGGCTGGTAAGTTCTTTTTTAATAGAACTGCACTTTTTAAAGTGATTTCCTATCTTCTACTGTCTTCAGAAGTCGGTTGCCACTTAATCATCAAGGATGGAATCTACAACTACATACATTGAAAGAAAAAGCCTACAGAAACTGTAATTCTTTTGAAACGTTGCTTCAACTCAAAATAAAATTCTAGATTTGCAGCTTTTAAAAGGGTTAGCAGTGCACTTATGCTGCTGCTGCTGTGTACAAGCAAGTGTAAGAGTTGCCTGTACCGAGCTTCTTTAAGAATTGCAATTTAATTCCAGCAGTATTCTGTATTTGATTCTGTGTGCCTTTTAACAACCTAAAAGATATGAACCTTCTTCTGATCATTATTTTTAAGTTTTGTGCTGTCCAGTTAATACATGTCATCCCTCTTTGACAATACTAGTTAAATATTTCTTTTTCTTCTGTAGAAGAAAGACTGTAGCATGTTCTCAACAAGTGTGTGAGCTGTCATTAATTTATTCTTTGCTTCACACAAAAGAACACAAATAAATATAGTTTGGGCCAAACATGAAAGCTAACGAAGTATGTGCCAAGGTGTAATAGAAACAAGAATCATAGAATCAATCATAGAATCATAGAATGCTTTGGGATGGAAGGGACCTTTAAAGGTCATCTAGTCCAACCCCCCTGCAATTGGCAGGGACATCTACAACCAGATCAGGTTGCTCAGAGCCCCA